CGAGCGGGTCCTCTCGTCCGACCTGAGGTCGATGGGTTTGGAATAGGCCTCGTCTCTGTCTCTCTGTCTTGCCTCTTGGGGCCCACCCGGCGCCTCGGCGGCTACCAGGAAGGGGGCCCCCCTCCGTGGCCCGACCGCGCGGGCTCTCTTCTCTCTCTCTCGGCGCTGGGCGCCCGCTCCCTCTACAGCAGTCCACTCGGAGATCTGCCACGGGGCCGGCTGCACTCGGTCCCCGCTGGCGGGGCCTGGCCTCACCTTTTTCTCTCTTGGCCTGCCCTGCCTGCCTACCTGGCCTCCTTCCGACGCGCTCCCTCGAGGCCGCCCGTGTCTTTCTTGTTCCGCTCAGGGGGACGACCGGCGCTCGTGGGTGGGGCGGATACTCAGCGCCGACCTGCCACGCCACGGCGGACTCACCCGGCTCGACTCGGCCCTCCCCGCGGAGAACGCGCCCGGCCGGTGCCCCCGGCCGATGATCACTGCGTTCTGCAATTCACACTGATTCTCGCAGCTGGCTGCGTTCTTCATCGGCGCACGAGCCCAGTGATCCACCGTCGAGAATTTTCCCTCGTTTTCGGAAATCCGAAAAAAAAAACACCGGCGGGAGCCGGGCCGAGCGGGGACCGGTCGCCTCTCGCACGGCAGCCCCTTTCCCCAAGGGGGGCCTCTCCGACCGCGTCTCACCGACCCCCCCCCAGACCATTGGAGGCCGAGCCCCGGCGTCCCGGGGCCCCCTGGCGAGCGCCGGGAGTTATCCATGTAGGGGGATGCGTTCTAAGGAACCATATCTGATTTAATGAGCCATCCGCAGTTTCGCTTAGTAAACTTTTACTTCTACATGCATGGCTTAATCTTTGAGGCAGTCTTAGACTACTGGCAGGATCAACAAGGTACCCCTTGGGGCCGGGGCCCGCCACCTCGGGCCCTCCGGACTGCTCGGCCGCGCCACGGCTGCCGGGCCGTTGCGCCGGAGTCCTGCGCCTCTCTGCTCTCGCTCGGCACTCGGCCTCCGCTGGAATGCCGCACGCCGCCGATCCCTCGCCCTCTCTGGCCCGGGCCGCACTTCCTCTCCTTCCCCGGGCGCGCGGGCGGCTGCTGGAATGCCGCCCGTCGGCCCAGTGCACCGGCCTCCTCTCGCCTCGATTCCGGAGGGGGCGGCCGGACCAGCCGGGGCTCTCCGGCAGGGCCAGCCGCGGCCTGTGGGCGGCCTTTCCGAATCCTCGCGGCAAGGCCTGGCGGGCCGGCCGACGCTCTCCTGGGCTAAAGGGGTCGGCCGGCCGCGCCAAAAACGCCATTGACGGAGCGCCCGGTTGGCCTCCCGGCGGGGCGGCGAGCCGCCACTTTTGTCGAGCTGCTCCAGAGCGGGGCTTGTCCAGACCCCAGGGGGAATCACTCCAGAGGATTGGGCTCGACCGTGTAGGAATAGCCGTATTGTATGGACAATATACGGCTGTACTGATTTCTTGTAGCCTGAACTGAGCTCAAGACCACCCTCCCCCCTATAAATAGGCAAACCAGGGAGTAAGGGTTACGGTCCAAAATCCTCTCATTGAAATACGCACGTTTTGGGCCCAACCTGTCCCGGTGCAAACCCTCTCAGAGGCCTTGGGTGGGCCAGTGAGCCGATGGACGGCAGGCCGGAGACGCCCGGCCCGCTTTTCGCGGGCAACCCCGGACATCCAAACCTCTTGGACCAGGTTTTCCGAGGAAGGCGATTCACCGCACCGCACTACCCGCCCTGCCGGCCTGGAGCCGTTTTCGCCCGGGGAAGCGTGTCGGAAATGCACGGCTTTAGGGGGACGGTGTGCGGCTGCGGTGGGTTTTTCTTTCCCCAGGATGGCAATTCGCCGCACCGCACCACCAGTCCCCGCCGCTCCGGAGCCAGGCTTGTCCAGACCCGAGGGAAAATCGCTACGGCGCCTTGGGCTCCACCGTGTGGAAATGGCCGTACCGTATGGACAATATATGGCTGTACTGATTTCTTGCAGCTGGAGCTGAGCTTGAGACCAGCTTCCCACTCCAGGGAGTGGGGCTAAGGTCCAAAATGCTCCAATTGAAATACGCATGTTTTGGGCCCAACACATCCCAACGAGAGACGCTCTTGAGAGTCGGGGTGCCTCGCCGACGCGTTTGCAGGTGGGGACGAGTCGGTTTTTACGCCCGAGTCGGGTCGAAAGCGGAGATTCGACCTTTCGCGGACTACGTAGTCCGAGGAGAAATCTTCAGCGGGCGCCCACACAACGCCGCCCGTCCGGCACCCAGGGTGCGACCGGCGCCGCCCGCTGCGAGACTCTGTCCCCGGGCCGGAGGCCCAGGTCCCTCCCCGCCCGACGGCCCGTCGCATGACTTCATTGGGACCGACTTGGCAACTTGCCACCCCGGTACTACTCCCCCATAGCCCTCCTGCGGGATATACTGCCAACCCTGGATTTCAAGTCAGTTTGGGGCGGCCCCCTCAGACTTGCGGCCCAGCAGCTCATCCCGGGCCGCCTGGCGGGCGCCGGTTCACTCCGCCGTCAGTCCCGCTCCTCCCCCGCCGCTTGTCCTCCACGGTCTCCCCCTCCTCTGGGTCTGGCCCACCCGAAGGCCGCCTGGCGGCCGGCCCTCCACAACCCTCCCCGCCGCCGCAACCCGCCGCCCCCGCCTTGCTGCCCGCCAGGATCGGCCCGTCTGCGGTGCGGGCAAATCCCTCGGATCGAAAGGTTTAGTTTCAGCAGATCGCAGCGAAGCGGCTTCTCTACTGTGCACGACACCCCGATCCATACCCAAGTCGTCTGCAAGTGATCTGGCGGACCTCTCGAGACGGCGGTTTTGCTTCCACCAGAGCTCCCAGCCCCCGGCCCCCGGGCAGGGGCCGCAGGCGGGGTCGGCAGCTTCGGCCAGGCCCCCCAATGCAAGAGCGAGTGAGCGCTGATGCGGGCCGCCCTCGGGCCGGACAATGGCGGCGCCGCCGCGTACCGGCAGAGATTTCGACTTAAAGGCATTCAGCCGTAATCTCTCGGTAGGTAGCCTCGCACCAGCGGCGTCTCCCCAGCACCAGAACCAGGGGTCCGAATCTGCGGCTCCTCTCGTACTGAGCAGGACTGCCGTGGCGGCGACCTCTCATCAGAAGGGTAAAACTAACCTGTCTCACGACGGTCTAAACCCAGCTCACGTTCGCTATTAACGGATGAACAATCCAACGCTTGGCGAATTCTGCTTCGCAATGATAGGAAGAGCCGACATCGAAGGATGAAAAAGCAACGTCGGTATGAACGTTTGGCTGCCACAAGCCAGTTCTGATTCTTGCAGTTGGCTGCGTTCTTTATCGGCGCACGAGCCAAGTGATCCACCCCCGAGAATTGCCTCTCGTTTTGGGGTTTGGCTCTGTCTATCACCTCTAATAACCGCGCCGGTGGCCCGGGCGCGGAGCATTCAGGTCTTTCGGAAACCGAAATGCCAAAAAAACAAAAACAAAAAAAAAACACCGGCTGAAGCAGGGCCGAGCGGGGACCGGTCGCCTCTCGCGCGTCGGCCCCCTTCCCCAAGGGACCGACCCCCCTGGTCCATTCGAGGCCGAACCCCGGCGTCCCAGGACCCTGGCGAGCGCTTGGAGTCCTGCGCCCACTCGGCGGTGCCACTCCCGCCTACACCCGGAACACAGCACAGTGGCCGGCCTCTCCGCCTCGGCGGACGGAAGAGGGCCGGCCGGGCACGTTCTCCCTGCTCGGTAATGATCTTTCTGCAGGTTAACGTGCGGAGACCTTGACCCTGTCTTCCGGGCGCACAAGCGAGGCGCCGGGGGCATCACAGACCTGTTATTACTCAAGCTTGCGTGGCTGAACGCCATTTGTCCCTCTAAGAAGTCAGCGTCCTGCGCGGCGGCCGGCGCGACTATTTAGCAAGCCAGAGTCTCGTTCGTTATTGGAATTAACCAGAGAAATTGCTCCACCAACTAAGAATGGCCATGCACCACCACCCAACACAATCAAGAAAAGAGCTCTGAATCTGTCAATCCTCACTGTGTCCCCGTGTTGAGTCAAATTAAGCTGTAGGCTCCACTCCTGGTGGTGCCCTTCCGTCAAATCCTTTAAGTTTCAGCTTTGCAACCATACTTTTCCCCGAACCCAAATACTTTGGTTTCCGGCAGACTGCCTTCCGCGTCATTGGATTGCCAGTCGGCGTCGTTTATGGTTAGAACTAGGGCGGTATCTGATCGCCTTCGAACCTCTAACTTTCGTTCTTGATTAATGAAAACATTCTTGGCAAATGCTTTTGAAGTCGGTCGTCTTGCGGCGATCCAAGAATTTCACCTCTCACACCGCAATACAAATGCCCCCGTCAGTCCCTCTAAATCATTTCCTCGAGTTCCGAAAACCAACGTAATAGAACCAAGGTCTTATTCCATTATTCCATGCTCAGTTGTCCAGGCGGTCGGCCTGATTTGAACACTCCATTTTTTTTAAAGAAAACGTTTCGGCCGCGCGTCCTCTGGCCTCGATCCCGGAGGGGCGGCTGGAGCAGCCAGGAGGCTGGCCGGTCTGAGCTCCCTCCATCTGGGAGGTCCCCGGTTGGGGATCCTGCCTGCCGCCGCCTGGCTTGCGGCTCGGCGCTACCGCGGGGGGCTGCCCGCCCCCTGCTCGGCGTGCGTGCTGCGGGGTCGCGCGCGGCTCCAGCCGCGGGGGGCCGCTGCTGGCTCTCCGGGCCTGGGACGCCGTCACGGTGCGCCTTGGGCTGTCAGGACTTGGCGGAGGTTGGGTGCGGCCCAGGGCCCCAGGGCGGGCCGGTCCCTCCTCTCTGCGGAAACTGCTGGGCCGATGCGGACGTGGCAGATATTGCTGCTCGGGGGCAGCGGAAAGACCTGCTGCTCTTCGAGGGGCCCTACCCTCTCTCTCTCCCGTTCACTCGTCCGCAGCGGGCCGGGCTGCCGCTCCAGCCTCTCCTGAAGGCTTGCGGCCACGCACCGTTGCACCTCCCATCCCGGGGTCCAGCGGAACTGCGGCCCGGGAGTGGCCTTCTGGACACCTTGGGGGAGGGCCAGGCGGGCCGGCCAACGCTCTCCTGCGCAGGACGGGTCGGCCGGCTGCGCCGAAAACGCCCCTGACGGAGCGCCTGGAGGGCCTCCCGGCGGGGTAGCGAGCTGCCACTTTCATCGAGCTGCTGTGGAGCGGGGCTTGTCTAGACCCAAGGGGGAATAACTCCGGAGACTTGGGCTCCACCGTGAAGGAATGGCCGTATTATATGGACGATACGTGGTTGTACTAATTTCTGGCAGCTGGAGCTGAGCTCGAGACCACCCTCCCCCAATAAATAACCAAGCCAGGGAGTGGGGG